TTTCTGGCCACCACTTCCCTCGGGATACTTGACCCGAAACATATCAAATTCCATGCCCCCGTCGCCCAGTTTGAACTCCTTTCTGGATTGTTGCACACTTTCTATTTTGTCTAAAATGACGTCCTCGTTAAAATCTTTACATTGAGTAAACTCGTACCAAATCTCTGATTCAGAGATTTGTGGCGTATGTTCAGGCGGAGGTAATCGTTAGGATTACACTGCATTTTCGATTTGAAAGTTTGTAACATGTGTCTGAATAATCGCCGAACAAATCCTCTGTTTTCTTCCTCTAGAAACTCGTTAAAAATCACAGTGTAAAACTCCTGTTGAGCTTTAAATTTTCTAGAGTGTATCCTATCATTCACTGTGACTCGATAATACTGGGATATGGCCTTGGGTTTGGGTGGTGAATGAATAGGTAACTTTGACCCCTCATGCGCCCTAGTCCTTTGCTGTTGCTGTCGTTTTTCTAGTTGAGCTCTTCTCTGTAATAGTCTGGCATTTATTTTACGAAGCTTTAATTCTCGCTCTTTTTTCTCATCAAGAATTTGATCTAATTCTCTCTCCCGTAGTTGTCGTTGTTGTTGTCGTTGTTGTTCTTGTAGAGCTCTTCTCTGTAATCTTTCCACATTTCTTTTCCTAAGCTCTAACTCTCGATCTTTATTTTCATCAAGAATTTGATCTAATTCTCTCTCCCTTTTTTTCCATTCTAATAATCGCTGAGCATGTAACTGTTTTTCTCTAGTAGAATCCATGACCCCCACTGGCAGGGAGCTGGCTCTGACTGTAGAATGAGCCGAAAGTCAGAGAAAAGCCGTATTTATACACCGGATGACGTCATAATGCATAGGTAAGTCTATGGTATTTTTACACACGGCCCCCTCACAGGTGATGCAACAGGTATAAAAAAATGATGCAACAGGTATAAGATGATGCAACAGGTATAAAAAAGATGATGCAAGAGGTTGTAGTAGCAGCGTATATAGTATAATGTAAACACACCCCCGTATTTAGGGGGCTATATGTACTGAATTGACCCAGCTATCCCCTAGACCCCCCTAATCTGCACTCTTTTGAACCCCCTATCCCCCCCAGCCCCAAACCTGCATTGTGTTGAACCCCCTATCCCCCCAGGCCCAAAAGTGCACTCCCTTGAACCCCCTATCCCCCTCAGCCCCAAAAGTGCACTCAGGTGACCCGGCCGGCCAGACCGCTTATACTACTTACGACGCTGAAATATTTCAGGGGCTGACGTTATCCCGAAAGGTACCCGCCGAAAACAGTATCATCCAAACGGAGTTATGAAGGAAGTTAGGTGACAACTCTCTGGAGCTAGAGGTATCTGGTGAAAACCACTACTAGCATCAAGCTTCGAAAAGACTGTAGCCTTGCTCAACTTTGGGGCAATGTCATCCAAGTTGGACAACATGTAATGTTCACGCTTGACTGCTTGATTCAGTTTCTTAAGGTCAACACACAAGCGAACATCCCCGTTTTTCTTGAATGCTGTCACAATGGGTGCACACCAATCCGTCGGTTCTGTGACCTTCGCAATGATCCCTGCGTTCTCCATTCGGTTTAGTTCTGCCTCGACCTTTGGCATCAATGGAAACAGAATCCTGCGAGCTATTGTGACGCAATATGGTGTGGCTCCGGGCTTCAGCGTTATCTTGACTGGTAGGCCCTTGACGCATCCATGTGTACCAAACACATCTCGAATTTCCTCGATTTTCATAACGAGTCACATACGGTGTGCGACACTTTGACTGAGCAAATTAGAACCACTGTTAGAGTACTTAAGCACATACACTCGAAAATGAAACTCATTGTTCTTGTGAAGAGTCTTTGCAACGAACATCCCTTTACACTCTACTGATCCTCCTGGGCTGTACAGCTGATTTGTTGAAGCCTGCAGTTTGGGCTTTACTGGCAATGAATTGTACGTTATCACAGATGTGTCAGCACCAGTGTCGATCTTGAATGTAATGTACTTCCGACACACCTTCAGCTTTACTGTCCATGCGTCTGTATTGTCCGACTCGCTTAGGTCAATCGAACCCATGTAGAATGAATCAGGTGATGAACATGCACCTTGAACTTCCTCTAAGTGTTTGGGTTTACTTCGACAAACTACCTTAAAGTGTCTTTTTTTCCCGCACTAACCTAGTCCACCATATTAACTCGCGCCGAGACGTTTCACGTTACATATAATTTAACCTATAAGGTATACATATTTATTTGATTGAAGGTCTTCATTTTTTTAATTTATTTATTTATTTCTTTTTCATAGTTTTTCAACAATTTTATTCATTTAATTCGGCTTGTAGCCTATATCATTTTTATTTGGAAAGTCGTGTATTAACTGATAATTAATCATATTTATTCAGTAATAATAATTAAGTGCCTGATTAAGTTTTTGGAGGTGTTTAAACTCTTATAATGCAATTATCTGAATAAGCAAACGAGGAAAATAATTATAAGTTAAGTGACCAGTGCCAATTATAATCGACGCAAATTTACAGAACTAAAAATTTCAATTAAAAAAAAACACCATTTCAAAAAGTGATGTATAATTGATTAATTGTAAATTGAAAATTGGGATTTGGTACGAAACGTCTGGGGGCGAAACATCCCTGCATGTACCGGAAGTAGCGCTAATGGGACATTAGCACCCCTGGAATATTCCCGCCAAAATTTCAGGTATCGATCCAAATCGTCTCCATACCAAAGTATGACGTGTTGCTTCAGTTAACAGTATGACGATGTTTTCCACTTTCGAAGCTTAATATGAGCCATCCTGACATTAAAATTTATTTCATGTCGCTTATGACATTTTTTGTTCACAATGGTCATTAATTTATTGTTGGATGAAGAGGATACTAATGATTAGTAGGGATCGAAAACATTGCTAGGAACGACCCACAATACCACCGTTATATAATTATTTTCCCGCAGATTTGTCAGCAGCGACTCAATGGAACCTCCAGAGAAAAGGATCAAAACAATGGTAAATATATAGATATATGCATAAATGTGTAACAGTGATGAGTAGGTGTACATTTTCTTTTAAAAAAAAAAGCATTAGACACACTGTACACTGAATATTAATAGGAGGCACAATAACTTTTTTCTGTCACTGAATTTCACACCCCTAGTATGATATTAACACAATGTTTTACATGTAACTCCAAATAACTCTTGACTGCTTTCTTTAAAATGCCACACTTCGTAGATTCGATCTAAGGTATATCCCATGTCTAGGGCTTTATGTAATTCGGTCGTCACCCAAGTACCCGTGAGACTGCGTTCCTGGTCGGTGTGTTGACATCGATCTTGAGAAGTAGAGTCCTGTCGTTCGGCACACGTGCGACATAAGGGAAATAATAACTTGCCTCCCGTCCGATAAGGTAATACGGGGTGATAGAGGTCTCGGGGAGGTAAGACCCGACAGTGAATGAGACCGAAATAACTTCTCACGTCCTGGAACTCGTCTGTGATGATCTCGGGATGCCCTACAGGAAATGGTCTGTGTTTTAACACGTAAGGGTATAGGGAACAAACGTCCGCGTATCTCATGTCCCCTTCCTCACAATATAATCGGGTGGCATAGGTCCGACCTCCGTACAGGGCTTCTCGAAGTTTCAAAGGATCGAAAATGTCCAGGTCTCGTACAAAATGTTGTAAACTCTCATCTTTTTGCACTTGCTGATCGAAATCGTGCTCCCAGATACTACGGACGGTATACCCCATATCCTCCAAAGTCAAAGTCCTTCTGATGGTTTCTTCGTGTAATTGCTGGTAAGTAAATTGGGTCCGATGAGGATGAGTTTCGGTCTGTAAACTGGGATAGCAGGTGGGACATCCGTGCCAATAGCACCCGTAAAATTCGTAGACGGTGCGAGTCGCTTCCTGGTATCCGTCGACGGTATAATTTCTGATCTGGACTTCGCCCCCGTTTCTGGCATGTTGTATGTGACATCCACTCTGTTGACTCATCCAGGTGAGCCACCGACAGGCTTTAGCCGAATATTGTCGTGCCGGTTGATAATGAAGGTTAGGAATGATGGCAATGGTGTCTTCAGGCATGAATTGTCGACGGTAGGCTAAATTAGCAGCACTGGCAAAAGTGATGGATTCCTGGAAAGGGTCCACATTGACCAAAGTCTTGAGGGTGGTTCTAAACTTTGCACAGCATCGGTGTGAAATGTCGACGTCCGAGACACAATACTCTACAAACTCTTTCTGGAAATCCAACACTTTCCCCCTCTGTTGTTCGTACCATTCAAAAAAAGCCCGTCGTCCACTGTTAGACATTTCGTGCGGTTTGTAGAAAGCTGCCGGTGGATAAGGTCCTACGTAATTCTGGTTCTGTTCCGTATGAAAAAAGTGGGGGAAATAGCCTTTCTTCAAGTTTCGTCGAGTCCGAAAGCGGAGTGCATCTTGGCTAATGCAAACGGTAAGAAATTATACGAGTCGATGAATTTCAGTCCTCATATTTCCATGCACAAGATCTTACTGCCGTTCTTGATGACGTTAGGTTTCAGGCAAGAGGAATGCACCAGGTGATTCAAAATGAATTGTCCGTCGTAGCCTTTGAAGTTATGGGCGATGACGATGGCCTCGTCGTGTACTAAAAAGGAATTCTTAGTACCTGTAGTGGGTTGTAATAACCAGTCCATTAACTTCTTTAAGGTGTCTGGTCCTTGAAATAGGTGCTGACGGGGTCCCATGTGTTGACAATGAGGACAGGGCTGGTCTATGTCTAACTGATTGCAATGTTGACAGACGCGGTGTGCCAAACACAGATTAGGGATGTGAATGCCGGTTTCCTGAGTGCATTCGAAATCGAAATAGATGTAAAACTGTAAGGTGTCTTTCCCCTTCTTCTTCTTCTTCTTCTGGGGCTTCTGTTGTACGTAGCACTATTGATCGGCATCGACGATTTTCTTACAGATCTTACACCGTTTCTGTCCTCCGCACTTGTGATGAGGGAATAATTTCTAAGGTATCCAAGACTGACACTTCTCGCATTGTTCCATTAAATTGCAGACAGTAGTGGTGGTCTTCTTACTATGGGGTCTTAAATGATTTTCGTAGCAGGTCCTGTTCTTAAAAATTCCATGGCATTCCTGGCATCGAATCTTGATCCCTTCATCGGGACATTTAGGGTGTTGTCCTAAACAAAAGGGACAGCGATGAGGACACTTGGAGCGATGTTCTGTGACAGTCCTGTACCCCACGTCGCAATGATCACAGTAATAGGGGTTCCCCGTCACTCCCGGCATCGATAGAATGGCATCGTAATGATGGTCGTCTAACAAAATGTTCAAATAAGTTCCGTCTCCCCAACCTTTGTAAATAGGCTCTAAGGTGAGTTTAGTTGAAGTAGACTTGAACTGAAATATTTTCAGTCGATACTGAGGAGCTAACACCTGTTGTAAATTCGTCCACTCTTCATATCCACAAGCTTGAGTGATATCACACTCGGCCTGTTCCATGAGGGCTATGGCTTGGTTCTTCTGGTCATTGGCTCTTACATCTCCTAATCTCATGCGTTTCCATTGTTTTTCCCATTCGGGGTCTGGATGTTCGGGTTTTTGACTGTGTAATCGAGTCACGACGATGGCTCTAGCTTAACAAAATTTATCCCAGGGATTGACGATCCGAACGATGGATTGCTTATTGTTCTTAAAAGTCTCCTTATTCACTTGTAAATGTTTGGTTTTCTGGCCACCACTTCCCTCGGGATACTTGACCCGAAACATATCAAATTCCATGCCCCCGTCACCCAGTTTGAACTCCTTTCTGGATTGTTGCACACTTTCTATTTTGTCTAAAATGACGTCCTCGTTAAAATCTTTACATTGAGTAAACTCGTACCAAATCTCTGATTCAGAGATTTGTGGCGTATGTTCAGGCGGAGGTAATCGTTAGGATTACACTGCATTTTCGATTTGAAAGTTTGTAACATGTGTCTGAATAATCGCCGAACAAATCCTCTGTTTTCTTCCTCTAGAAACTCGTTAAAAATCACAGTGTAAAACTCCTGTTGAGCTTTAAATTTTCTAGAGTGTATCCTATCATTCACTGTGACTCGATAATACTGGGATATGGCCTTGGGTTTGGGTGGTGAATGAATAGGTAACTTTGACCCCTCATGCGCCCTAGTCCTTTGCTGTTGCTGTCGTTTTTCTAGTTGAGCTCTTCTCTGTAATAGTCTGGCATTTCTTTTCCGAAGCTTTAATTCTCGCTCTTTATTTTCACCAAGAATTTGATCTAATTCTCTCTCCCGTAGTTGTCGTTGTTGTTGTCGTTGTTGTTCTTGTAGAGCTCTTCTCTGTAATCTTTCCACATTTCTTTTCCTAAGCTCTAACTCTCGATCTTTATTTTCATCAAGAATTTGATCTAATTCTCTCTCCCTTTTTTTTCATTCTAATAATCGCTGAGCATGTAACTGTTTTTCTCTAGTAGAATCCATGACCCCCCCCTGGCAGGGAGCTGGCTCTGACTGTAGAATGAGCCGAAAGTCAGAGAAAAGCCGTATTTATACACCGGATGACGTCATAATGCATAGGTAAGTCTATGGTATTTTTACACACGGCCCCCTCACAGGTGATGCAACAGGTATAAAAAAATGATGCAACAGGTATAAGATGATGCAACAGGTATAAAAAAGATGATGCAAGAGGTTGTAGTAGCAGCGTATATAGTATAATGTAAACACACCCCCGTATTTAGGGGGCTATATGTACTGAATTGACCCAGCTATCCCCTAGACCCCCCTAATCTGCACTCTTTTGAACCCCCTATCCCCCCCAGCCCCAAACCTGCATTGTGTTGAACCCCCTATCCCCCCAGGCCCAAAAGTGCACTCCCTTGAACCCCCTATCCCCCTCAGCCCCAAAAGTGCACTCAGTTGACCCGGCCGGCCAGACCGCTTATACTACTTACGACGCTGAAATATTTCAGGGGCTGACGTTATCCCGAAAGGTACCCGCCGAAAACAGTATCATCCAAACGGAGTTATGAAGGAAGTTAGGTGACAACTCTCTGGAGCTAGAGGTATCTGGTGAAAACCACTACTAGCATCAAGCTTCGAAAAGACTGTAGCCTTGCTCAACTTTGGGGCAATGTCATCCAAGTTGGACAACATGTAATGTTCACGCTTGACTGCTTGATTCAGTTTCTTAAGGTCAACACACAAGCGAACATCCCCGTTTTTCTTGAATGCTGTCACAATGGGTGCACACCAATCCGTCGGTTCTGTGACCTTCGCAATGATCCCTGCGTTCTCCATTCGGTTTAGTTCTGCCTCGACCTTTGGCATCAATGGAAACAGAATCCTGCGAGCTATTGTGACGCAATATGGTGTGGCTCCGGGCTTCAGCGTTATCTTGACTGGTAGGCCCTTGACGCATCCATGTGTACCAAACACATCTCGAATTTCCTCGATTTTCATAACGAGTCACATACGGTGTGCGACACTTTGACTGAGCAAATTAGAACCACTGTTAGAGTACTTAAGCACATACACTCGAAAATGAAACTCATTGTTCTTGTGAAGAGTCTTTGCAACGAACATCCCTTTACACTCTACTGATCCTCCTGGGCTGTACAGCTGATTTGTTGAAGCCTGCAGTTTGGGCTTTACTGGCAATGAATTGTACGTTATCACAGATGTGTCAGCACCAGTGTCGATCTTGAATGTAATGTACTTCCGACACACCTTCAGCTTTACTGTCCATGCGTCTGTATTGTCCGACTCGCTTAGGTCAATCGAACCCATGTAGAATGAATCAGGTGATGAACATGCACCTTGAACTTCCTCTAAGTGTTTGGGTTTACTTCGACAAACTACCTTAAAGTGTCTTTTTTTCCCGCACTAACCTAGTCCACCATATTAACTCGCGCCGAGACGTTTCACGTTACATATAATTTAACCTATAAGGTATACATATTTATTTGATTGAAGGTCTTCATTTTTTTAATTTATTTATTTATTTCTTTTTCATAGTTTTTCAACAATTTTATTCATTTAATTCGGCTTGTAGCCTATATCATTTTTATTTGGAAAGTCGTGTATTAACTGATAATTAATCATATTTATTCAGTAATAATAATTAAGTGCCTGATTAAGTTTTTGGAGGTGTTTAAACTCTTATAATGCAATTATCTGAATAAGCAAACGAGGAAAATAATTATAAGTTAAGTGACCAGTGCCAATTATAATCGACGCAAATTTACAGAACTAAAAATTTCAATTAAAAAAAAACACCATTTCAAAAAGTGATGTATAATTGATTAATTGTAAATTGAAAATTGGGATTTGGTACGAAACGTCTGGGGGCGAAACATCCCTGCATGTACCGGAAGTAGCGCTAATGGGACATTAGGCACCCCTGGAATATTCCCGCCAAAATTTCAGGTATCGATCCAAATCGTCTCCATACCAAAGTATGACGTGTTGCTTCAGTTAACAGTATGACGATGTTTTCCACTTTCGAAGCTTAATATGAGCCATCCTGACATTAAAATTTATTTCATGTCGCTTATGACATTTTTTGTTCACAATGGTCATTAATTTATTGTTGGATGAAGAGGATACTAATGATTAGTAGGGATCGAAAACATTGCTAGGAACGACCCACAATACCACCGTTATATAATTATTTTCCCGCAGATTTGTCAGCAGCGACTCAATGGAACCTCCAGAGAAAAGGATCAAAACAATGGTAAATATATAGATATATGCATAAATGTGTAACAGTGATGAGTAGGTGTACATTTTCTTTTAAAAAAAAAAGCATTAGACACACTGTACACTGAATATTAATAGGAGGCACAATAACTTTTTTCTGTCACTGAATTTCACACCCCTAGTATGATATTAACACAATGTTTTACATGTAACTCCAAATAACTCTTGACTGCTTTCTTTAAAATGCCACACTTCGTAGATTCGATCTAAGGTATATCCCATGTCTAGGGCTTTATGTAATTCGGTCGTCACCCAAGTACCCGTGAGACTGCGTTCCCGGTCGGTGTGTTGACATCGATCTTGAGAAGTAGAGTCCTGTCGTTCGGCACACGTGCGACATAAGGGAAATAATAACTTGCCTCCCGTCCGATAAGGTAATACGGGGTGATAGAGGTCTCGGGGAGGTAAGACCCGACAGTGAATGAGACCTAAATAATTTCTCACGTCCTGGAACTCGTCTGTGATGATCTCGGGATGCCCTACGGGAAAAGGTCTGTGTTTTAACACGTAAGGGTATAGGGAACAAACGTCCACGTATCTCGTGTCCCCTTCCTCACAATATAATCGGGTGGCATTGGTCCGGCCTCCGTACAGGGCTTCTCGAGGTTTCAAAGGATCCGGAATGTCCAGGTCTCGTACAAAATGTTGTAAACTCGCATCTTTTTGCACTTGCTGATCGAAATCGTGCTCCCAGATACTACGGACGGTATACCCCATATCCTCCAAAGTCAAAGTCCTTCTGATGGTTTCTTCGTGTAATTGCTGGTAAGTAAATTGGGTCCGATGAGGATGAGTTTCGGTCTGTAAACTGGGATAGCAGGTGGGACATCCGTGCCAATAGCACCCGTAAAATTCGTAGACGGTGCGAGTCGCTTCCTGGTATCCGTCGACGGTATAATTTCTGATCTGGACTTCGCCCCCGTTTCTGGCATGTTGTATGTGACATCCACTCTGTTGACTCATCCAGGTGAGCCACCGACAGGCTTTAGCCGAATATTGTCGTGCCGGTTGATAATGAAGGTTAGGAATGATGGCAATGGTGTCTTCAGGCATGAATTGTCGACGGTAGGCTAAATTAGCAGCACTGGCAAAAGTGATGGATTCCTGGAAAGGGTCCACATTGACCAAAGTCTTGAGGGTGGTTCTAAACTTTGCACAGCATCGGTGTGAAATGTCGACGTCCGAGACACAATACTCTACAAACTCTTTCTGGAAATCCAACACTTTCCCCCTCTGTTGTTCGTACCATTCAAAAAAAGCCCGTCGTCCACTGTTAGACATTTCGTGCGGTTTGTAGAAAGCTGCCGGTGGATAAGGTCCTACGTAATTCTGGTTCTGTTCCGTATGAAAAAAGTGGGGGAAATAGCCTTTCTTCAATTCGTCGAGTCCGAAAGCGGAGGGCATCTGGGCCAAAGGAAAAGGTAAGAAACTATAGGAGTCGATGAATTTCAGTCCTCATATTTCCATGTACAAGATCTTACTGCCGTTCATGATGACGTTAGGTTTCAGGCAAGTGGAATGCACCAGGTGATTCAAAATGAATTGTCCGTCGTAGGCTTTGAAGTTATGGGCGATGACGATGGCCTCGTCGTGTACTAAGAAGGAATTCTTAGTACCTGTAGTGGGTTGTAATAACCAGTCCATTAACTTCTTTAAGGTGTCTGGTCCTTGAAATAGGTGCTGACGGGGTCCCATGTGTTGACAATGAGGACAGGGCTGGTCTATGTCTAACTGATTGCAATGTTGACAGACGCGGTGTGCCAAACACAGATTAGGGATGTGAATGCCGGTTTC